TGTAAATGGTCATAAGGAACCAGAGCTTTACACAGATCGGTTTTCAGAGGGTAGTGAAAATGGGGCTATAGAAATTAGAATTAGACCAAGAGCAGTCGGTCTGTTTGGTTGTTTCTGCTTGTGAATTGTGTTTTAATCTGTGTGCAGAACTATTAGGCAAATGAGTATTTCCACCACATCATCCTTTTCATACATGTTGTCCTGCTCCAAGCTGCAGAGGCTTGAAAGCCAACTACCAAAGAAGTAAATCAGGTGGTGTGCATCTCTGTAATGAGAAGGGGCGTGGCCTAATGACATCAACACCCTACATAAGGTGTGCTTAATCATTAGGCAACTTCCTTTCCTTTGGCAGAATGGGTCAGAAAAGAGATTTGACAGACTCTGAAAAGTAAAAAATGGTCAGATGTCTCTCAGAGGGGGGCAGCAGTTTGGAAATTGCCAAGCTGTTGAAGCGGGATCATCACTCAATCAAGCGGTTCATGGCAAATAGCCAACAGGGGCGCAAGAAGCGTGTTGGAAAACGCAAAATAACTCCCCATGAATTGAGAAGGATGAAGCGTGAAGCTGCCAGGAAGCCATTAGCCACCAGTTTGGCCATATATCAGAGCTGCAACATGTCTGGAGCGCCGAGAGGCACAAGGTGCTCAATACTCAGGGACATGGCCAAGGTAAGGAAAGCTGAAAAAAGGCCACCTTTGAACAAGACGCACAAGAAAAAACGTCAAGATTGGGCCAAGAAATCTCTGCAGACTGATTCCTCCAAGGTGTTTGGGTCTGATGGAATGAGAGAGAGTCTAGATGCGCCAGATGGATGGATGGGCACCAGGCTGGATCAGTAAAGGGCAGCAAGTTCCTTATCCACTCAGACGCCAGTAAGGTGGAGGTGGGGTAATGCTATGGGCTGCTATCATCAAAGATGAGCTTGTGGGACCTTTTCAGGTTGATGATGGAGTCAAGATCAACTCCCAGACCTGCTGCCAGTTTCTGGAAGACACCTTCTTAAAACAGCGGTTCAAGAAGAAGTCGCCATCATTCAAGAAAAACCTGATATTCCTGCAGGACGATGCTCCGTCACATGCATCAGAATACACCACAGCGTGGCGGCCAGGAAAAGGCTACAAGGAGAAAAAATAATGACATGGCCCCCTTGATCACCTGATCTGAACCCCATGGAGAACCTGCGGTCCTTCATGAAAACAGAGGGAAAACAGTGTCTGGGAGGCTGTGGAGGCTGCTGCACGCAATGAGGATCAAAAACAGATCAAGACTCTGACAGAATCTATGGATGGAAGGATTTAGAGCGTCATGGTGGAGAAAGGAGGCTAGATTGGTCACTGATTTGTTTTTCTGTTTTGTTTCTAAATGTCGCAAATGTTTAATTCTGAATTTTGCGTTGTTATATTGGTTTACCTGGTGAAAATAAACATATTGGATGGGTATATATTTGTTTTTTATCATGTTGCCTAATAATTCTGCTCAGTAATATTTACCTGAACACACAGACATCCTCATAAAATGGAAAAATCTAAAGAAAAACACATCAACTTCCAAAAATATGAAACTTTGATATTAAGGAGTCTGTGGCCCAATAATAAAAATAATCCTCAAAATTACAACTTGCCTGATAATTCTGCACACAGTGTTAAATATCTGCAGCAGAGTTCCCAAACTTTTCCATCCAGCTTATTTCTAACAAAGCATTTTACAGAACCTCCAAATCCCTCTTATATGTGGATTGATTTATAATATTGTGCTAATAGTGCCTCAGATTAATATGCTGCCTTCATTTTCCATCTTTTGTTTTCCTAAATGTCCTTTTGTCCTTCCTTGATCTGTTTCTCTCTTAAATGTAACCTTAACGGAAAAGTCGCTCATATTCAGAATTTAAACTTCTGAAAGTTCTTTAAA